GGGATTTTAAAGAATTTTATATATAAAAATAAGTGAGAAATTAATCAAGAAAATTACTTGGAAAATTCAACTGGCCTCTGAAGAGGAATTGACCCCAACTTGCTGCGAAAATAACAGTATTTAAATTATGTAACAAAAGGAGTTTTAGTCCTTCTTTAAGTGGAAACCAGAACACAATGGAGCTACAACCGGTGCCTCCATTCGTGAAAATTTAACTGCAGAACTGTCCCTACATTAATGATAAACACATTCTTTTGAAAAGGCTCTGCGGCCATAAAGTCTCCAGTCTTCCTGATCCTTCATGATTTGTAAGCAGTTTAGCAAATTAAAATTATATTGAAAAGTAAAGAAAAAAAGCCTCTTCAGCAAATTCCCCAGCCAGACACAATTTGAATCAGTCAGTACGTGAAAACTCTCAGAGACAGGGTTAATAGTGGCAATGTTGCAAGATCTTAAACTACAGGATACTCACTCAAAGAAAGAACACCGACATTTTTATCAAGAAAAAAAGGTTACTGAAAATGAATCAAGTAAAATACCCAGACCCGATGTGGATTACATGAGTATTTCATCTGTATACATACATAATTTAAATCGACACACAAGGCATTGCTTACATAAAATGGAATAAACTAAAATATATTCATAGATATGGTTTACTTCAGGTTAATATACTACTATAAATATATAACTTGTATATTATTTACATCAGCTGGGATTTTCAAACCAGTTAGGTACCCAAATCCCATTGAAATTCAACAGGATTTGGGCACCTAACTACTTTGCATACCTTATTAGCAACACAGATTCATAAGTGCCAATTCTGCAAATACTTGTACATATGTTTAACATTACTATGATGAGCGTCCCATTATCTTTAATGGGACTATTCACATTAGTAAAGATAAGTACATGCATAAATGTTCACAGGATTGGGGCCGTAGATTGTAAATCTAGCAGGGACCATTATGAATATTTAGTCTGACCTTCTGCATAGCATAGGCTACAGATTTCATCCACTGATGTATAATGATAACATATCATATATAGTTTTTTCATGGATCATCCCTCTGATAACTGCAATATATTCACAATATTGCACATACAGTATCTGTTTATGCTATATATTTTAGAGAACGAGTGACAATTGAAAATATATATTAGGATTGGTCAAAAATATAAAAGTGCAATTAATTCCCCCCTTTTATTGTATCAGAATTCAAAATTTTGGTAAAAATTTTCATCAACATTTTGAAATTTGAAACACATCAACCCACCCTATTACATATACATTGACAAAAATATATTCTCAGTATGTGTTTGTTCCGCTCCACTGCTAAACTAGTGTGCAAGGCATTTAACTCATTACTTCAGTTAAAGAACAGGGCTGGCCACATTGAAGTCAATGGTGAAGCTCTGATATCAGTTCAGTGGTACCAGGATTTCACCCCATAATTTTAAAGAAATCTGTAAGGAAACAGGCTTAAACAGCCGAGGTCATCAACTCCTCCTGCCCCAATGATCCATGCCAGCTCCTGAAGTCCTCACTCAGTTTCATCAAAGCATCTCAAAGCACTTTTAGAAACATTAGTTAATTAATCCTCATAAATACTATTGATGCTACACACTAGTTTCAAATAATTCCATGAACATTTACCAAATGTTTGAGTCATAAGTATGGGAGGGGGCTTCCTAATCCACACTTCCCTAACCTGCAAACACAGTAATTATCACCCAGGATTCAGTGATCCAACCCTGCTGCTCAGCAAAGATTTAACCACACCATGCTGTTGCTAGAACTCCAGAGCTTTTTGAATATTATTTATCGGATTCACCAAATAATGCTGGTTATAATCAAATAAGTTTTTCAGCTAAAAGTGTAGTAGCTAACCATTTGCATTGTTGGTTCAACACTATTCAGTGAATCCATTATTTATGAATAACAATTGAATTAATCAATACATCAGAGTAGCCATTAGCTCTCCCTGATAAGATTAATTAATTCCCAATATAGTATTATTATACTGAAAGTAACTAACATTTTCCTGTGGTTGTCGTATAAATGAACACAGTGATGGAGTATTTGGATTCATTTTATATTCCGTTTGTTCATTCCCTTGCTACCTCCGAAAGCTCAGCAACCCACAGTGGGTCTCCCGATCATTTGTGCGACACGCTGACCAATCTTACATGATCTTGTTTTTACCCTGCTGATAAAAGGTCAACAATAATATAAATGAGACAAATATGTCCATGTCAATTAATTATGAATGGTGTGATAAGGTCATCAGAGCATTTTGGATTCAGAATTATTCAGGCCAGGTTTCTTAAGGGATCACTGGCTAACGGCAAGCATCTGTGGTCTGATTCAGCAATGCATTTAGGTCCCAGTTCAACAAAGCCCTCAACTCTAAGTACACACTTACTTACACACTTCTGTTAGTCTTAAAGGTGCCACAGGACCCTCTGTTGCTTTTTACACACTTACATTCATCCCTATTCAGCAAAGCATTTAAGCACTTGGGGCTGGATTTTGGAACTTGTGCTCTTAAATCACATAAGCCCAGATCCTCAAAAGTGTTTCGGGTCCTAATTCCCACTTCAATGAGAGCTAGGCACCTAAATATCTTTCAGGATCTTTTGGAAAATCCCACCCTTAACTCCCCTTGAAGTCAATGGGATTTAGGCACATGCTTAAAGTTAAGCGTGTGCTTATGTGCTTTGCTGATTCAAAGCCCTATATATCTAGACCAAAGCATTGAAAAGTGGAGTAACAGCAGTTCTGCCTAAAGAGCTGAAGCTAATAAAATTCCTGCCTAAAAATTAAGGTGAAGTTGCATTTGTTAGCACTTAAGAGCAGTTCTAGAGCGTCCTGGAATTTAAGAGTTAAATAAAACCTTCAAATGTTAGCAGGCCAGGAAATACAGAATTAAAGCTGCACTTCTCAGTGAAGAGGAATACGGTAAAGTAAGTTCTCTCTCTCACCTTCCCCGACCCCCCTTTCTATTTCTTGGCTACAAAATGGCAAAACAAAAAATAGAAGAATTTTATAACTGTGTTTAACAGCTTTAATTTCAGGATGTCATAATTCAAGATCCCCTTGTTTGGTTCACTCTAAATTTTGCAGGAAAAATTCTACCTCAGCACCAAATTTAACCCATAAGTTTTGAGACTGATATGAAGGTTTTGTATTGTTTTACATTTTAGGGAGTCATCAAAATCAGGCTTGCAATGGAAACCAAAGTGCAACCTGAATAAAATTTGAATTAAATCCCCTGAATCTGCTTTCACTTCCACAGGTGTAAATCAGGAGTAACTCAGTGAAAATCAGAGTTATGTTGGTATAAAACTAGCATGAGATCAGAATCAGATCCCATCAGACTAGATTTTTATTATAGGATTTTCAGTTTATAAATTTATGCTTCAACATTCATGGTTGTGGCTATCATGTTTTGGCCACACTGATTTTTCAGCTGCTCTGGCATTTACTGAAATAATGTTGTTCACCTGTTTTAGATCTGATGTGTTGGCCCTTTTTTGAATATCCGTGCCTGGTGGGGGAAACTTGCAGATTATAGGTCAAATTTCAAACATGCCTCAATCTAAGTTCCATTTCTCCGCATATAAATTTGCACATATAATTATTTTTGTGAATTTGTGACTGCAAATGACTGAATTTATGTGCACAAAATCCATTAAAACTTGATCTTCATGTGCCCATGGCACTTGATCATTTTTGTGCAAAAGTGACAGGATACAAACATTTGCAATCACAAATCTGCACATGCAGAAATAGTGGGCACCTCTTGGAAATGTGGTCCTGTGTGTGCTGAAAACAACTATATTTATCATAACAATATTTTGTACTTCTTTGGAGTTTTTCATCTGCGGAGCTCACTGTGCTTTACATCTCAAATATAGGTAGTGTAGAACAAATCTACGAAGTAAATTCTGCCATGTTTACTCGGGGGATCTGAACAGAATGCAACTCACTTACATTAATTCTAATGTAGGAAAGTTGCATGTCCTAAAAGGAGACAATAAGAAGAAGAGACTAACTATGTAAATATGTACTATTATGATAGTGTATAGGGGGCCCAATCAGCATAAGGGCCCCATTTTGCTAGGCACTGCGCATAAACAGAACACAAGCCAGTCTCTTCCCCAAACAGCTTACCGTCTAATTAGCCAAAATGGACAAACAAAAATAGACCAAAAATTGACAAGCAAAATGTCAAAGGTACAAGCCTTTAGATACATTTAAAAAATAAGCTATCCCTAAATACCTCCACCCTATTGGGCACTGGAGAAATGCACCCAGCTTTGTGGCATTGCAATGCTATAATATAGGTATCTGGAAAACAACCTATAAACCAGATAAAGGATAATAATAAACTGCTTTAATAATTTAATTGGAATGATCTTGGCATCAAGAAAAAAAACCTACTTCAATCACATGTGGACGCTTAGTTGATCATTACCGTTTTTATAATACACTCACTGTGGCTTAATGAGATGGCTATTCTATGCTAAACAAGCATCAGTTGTCTTGGAAGAGTTCATCAATTCCAGCAGGGCAGCACACAATTGTCTCTCCTGCAAAGCTGCTGATTCTCAAAGAACAGGCTTTAATTACACTGACTGGTATTTGTAGATTTGTACTCTGTAGATTTTCATACCGTTTATCTATGCTAATTGGACATTAACTTTTTTAATCAGTTTAGAGACTGTAAAACACTGAAAATATTTTTCCTTCTCGCAGTTTCCGTTGCATCACTTACTCAGTGAGTCTAATCCTGCCGTTCTGACAGGCACAGAACTCCCATTGCTCTGTGTCCTTTACCCCATAGTCCTTTACACCAGTACCTGTGCAAAGTGGGGGGTAAGATGCCAGCACATCAGAATGGTAGCAGTTTACACCCACTGGTGTGGATGACTTCTCCATAGAGAATTGGGTATTTTTGTCTGTGTAAAGAATGCAGGATCGCCATCATGTTTACCTGACCCCGGAGCCAGCAGTAGCAGCCGCAGCATTGCAGGGGAATCCATTGACATTGGAAAGGTTGTGCCAAGCATATTCGTGCAGATGATTCTCGCTCGGGCTGTTTGTTATCGCCACAGCTCTTTCTCAAGCCCCCTTTTCCTGCAGAGCCTCCAAGCTTCCTCTGCATTCAGGCTCCGGTGAGGCACAAGCTGAAACTGCCATTTCAAAGCAGCAATGAGAAGGGGCTCCGTCTGCAATACCCCCGCATGGAGCAGCAGCTGGAAAGAACGCTCTTTCGTCCACCTGTCGCATCCTGTCTGACATGTATGTTGAGAGTTCTCTAGGACACGGGCTGTCTTTTTTGTCACTTGTCTGCACAAGAACCTAGCACAGTGGCACCCTGATGCTTGATCGGGCTTCTTATAAGCTTTTGTAATATAAACTACTAATTAGGAGGGGGCTTATTATCTCCTGGAGACAGGCACAAGCATTGCAATGTGGACCAAGATTGCAAATACACCCAAAGTATTGAGGTGTCTAGATCCAGGTTTTTGGTTTAGCTGCATTACAAAGACAGCCGTGAGATTCACACACAGGGTATGTCTACACAGCATACCACTGGGTGGCGGCATGTGTAGTTACATGCCACAGTCAAAAGTGGGTTGTTGTGTCCACACTGAGGTTTGTCGCTACACAAGTCAGTGAAAGGCTCTGGCAGGGGGGAGGCAATGGGGAAAGGCTCTGGAGCTGCTGAAGTCCTTCACGGTGGCAGGGAAAGGCGGCGGGGAGGCAGAGGGACACGATCCTGCTAAAAATAGCTTGTAGACATGGGAGGCACTGCTCGGGCGTGTAGAGAGCCATGTACCAAAAGGATACAGATGTGTGTTTACTCCACTCACCTGAGCAGTGCCTCGCCACCTGCTATTTATGCTCATGCTATGGGGCGTGCAGTGTATGTATGCTACACGCCACTATAAGGAGTGTACAGTGTAGACATATCCCCAGACACAGGCTCAGAGTTCGAATCAGGGTTTAGGCTAACATCCATTTTCACTTTTACATTTACACGTCTACCCCTGTGCTGAGACACGGAGAATATGAGTTGTTACAATCCCTAGCTCCCATCGAATGGTAGCAGCTCATGCCTTTAGCCCTGGTTCAATCCCTGGTGTGCTATCAGACTCCAGTAGAAAATTTTCCTAATGTTAATATGTCGTCCTACTGAGTTTCACAATCACTAGTAAAGAATGAGGCACAACGGTTCTTTACTTTCTGTGGCCTCCTGAGAAGCACCTAGGCCTGGTCAAACTAGACCACTGATCCAGATAGTCTGCTATCCCAGGCCCACCAGCGACCAGTGCCAGATACATGAGCGAGAGCTGTAAATCCTCATAATATATCGCATGTTGCAATGCAATAAATAGAGTGGGAGGAGAATTTCTCCCTGTCCCCAGCGGGTGATCAGAATGCAAAAGCATCTAGACAACTCCATATCAATCAACACCAGAAGAGATGAAAAGCAACAGGAGCCAAAATTTGCTACGTTCCCCTCTGCAGACTGTTTTTCTCCAACTATCAACTTAATTCAAGGAAGTCCAGTGGCCTGCGTTACACGGGGGTGGGGGAAGTCAGGCATGATGATCCCAATGGCGCCTTTGGGCCTTGAACTCTATGAATCTATACCTCTTCCCATGGCACATCACACGCTTGGCACAAATTCCCACTTCCTGGGAGACAGCATGAAGTGGAGAGTGGGAAGAGAGGAAGGGAGCACATGGGAGAGGGGACGAGAGCAGTGAGAAGGGGTAGAGGTCTGAGATGTAGGCAAGGGGAGAGTCATGTAGTGACACGGGGGTGAGAATGAGGAGCCTGAACGTAATGGGGAACTGAAAAGTTGCAGATACAATGAGATGTGGTCGCCAGCGAGGACTGGGACCGTCAGCACCAAAAGCAAAGGCTCTTCGACGTGAAGCTAAAAAAGCACCTGTTAGCGGTGAGCAAATTACAGGCTATTAGAGTTGGCTACTAGACGGAAACAAATTCACATATGAGATGATTTATTACCTAAGAACCCAGGTATCCTAACTGTTCCTTGCTCTAACCAGTCCCCTGCTGCTACCATTAGACCTCACTGTCTCGCTTGCAATTGAATAAAGAACCCCAGGAGAGAAACCCAGCCACTGGTAAGAATGTTCCAGAACTTCAGAGTGACTGGGCTGGACTGGGCATAATGGAGAGAGACTAAATCTTTTCCTCCAAAACAAGTACAGTGTAGAGTTAAGTAGATCACAGAGCAACTGCTGAACTGTAGGGGCTGGGTTACTAAATCAAGCTAACTGCAGAAAAATAAAGTTGTTTAGTCTGTGGCTATAATTTCTGGGAGAGTCAAGCTGCTTGTGCAAATCATCTATTCCTGCGTTCAGATGTTCCTCCCTTTCTATTCAGTATGGACAAGTTCAATACAGTGCCATGGTCCCTTTCTCCAGGACAGTCAGATCGGGTGTAATTACAGCAATTCTTTTTCTGTTCCTACCAGGGCAATCCAGGGTGCCGTCCCCCCTCTGCCCTGCCTGGCGTTCCCATGCTAGGACATAGTGCTGTTACTGAACCACACACTTGACTGCTCCTCCTTCCCATGCCAGGAACCTGACTCCAGCTCTTCCACACCTCAGCCTCCTGCAGCATAAAATGGACTGTAGAGCTGGTGTCCTTCCTTGTGTCAGGGCTGCTTGGCTCCACTCCACTGTAGCAAAGTGCCCCAATGCCTGTTTACGTGGCCTGGGAAGATCACCCCTGTGCAGGGGAGCCCTTGGTGGCAGAGCGCCACCGGGGAAGGCTGTTGTGCCACTTTCTGTGTTGTCCCTCCCTGCAGCCAGGTTAGGGGGCATGTCTGGGGAATAGGGAAGGTAGCAGCGTCCCCTGTACCCTAGTGATTCTGGGGCCCTTGGGTCTGTTGGCAGCCAGTGTAACTTTCAGCAGCCCTCAGACTGCTCTAATTTATACTGGTGGGCCAGCCCTGTGCTCAACCTGGCGCCGAATTGGGGAGCGCACAGTTAATGAAAAGCCACCTATTTCCACAAACCCCTTTCCTGAGCTACACTGTGCGCCCCTTCACCGCAGCCAAGGATGGGAGCGGAGATTTCCCCAATATCTCATCTTCCTGCGCCAGACGACAGCTCTCAGCGCACAGCAAGCCCTGGGTCTGATTTCTAGCGAGTTTCATCTGCCCATTGATTTTCCCTCTCCCTTTCCACTCGTCTTCAGAGGACGCTGAAACAAACCCGGCTGTGCTCAGAGGATTGTCTCCCAATAGGGTACACACGTACATTAATGTCCCGCAGCAATGCACCAGTGCCTTTGAGAATAAGAAAAGACTTTCTCTCCCCTCTGTGGGTTAATTGCCAGGCATAGCTAGCCAATGGGACATAACACATTGGTGCTGCTAAACACTGTCACAGAGCCCTCTCTCTGACCAATACTTTTACACACACAAGCCTGAGCGTGGGTACGGGACACCACTGGTGTCACTGAAATTTGCTGAACAAAACAATCAAAGCCATATGGGAAGCAATACAACCCAGCAGAACACAGCTTTACTTTGCATAGCGGCTTCCATGCAAACTGCATCACAAGGTGCTTTGAGTTCAATGCTACAAGGCAGTAGGTGGTAAATGACTGCTCGACTGCTACTTCTTCAGTTTCATGAGCCTCATCTCCCAAGCTAAAGCTTACAGGTCAATACATAAAGGATAACACAAAGCACAGGAAATGTCAGTTACACAAAGCACAGGAAATGTCAGTTACAGAGCTGGTCAACCACCCAACCAACCAACAAAAAAAGTAAAACACTTACCCCCAAAATGGCTTTTTTATTTAAAAAACATTCTCATGGGACAAAATTAGTTTCTGCTGAAATGTTTTGGTGTTTTGATAAAAAACAGAAACAAATTTTCCAGTTTTGTTTTTTTCCCTCCTTTTTTTTTCATTTTGCCACTGGAGAAGGGGGCATAGGAAAAGGAAAGGGGGGAAGGGGAGAGGAAAGGGTTCAGAGAGGATGAAAAAAGGAGAACATTTTTCTTTTCGGGGGGGAGGAGAAACTTTTTTCACAAAAAATAATCACTATTTCTTGACTAGTAATTTCTCCATCTGCTCTGAAGGTGGCAGGCCTGTCCCATCGCTGTACTTTGTGTACCAAGAAGCCCTGAAGTGGGGAAGGGTGGAGGTAACTGACTCTGTGAGGAATCCCCATCAGCCTCTCAGGCCAGATGACTGCAGAGCTAAAGGAAAGGGGGACGGATAGGTGTGTAGGGGGACCGGAGGTCCCAATTTTACAGGGACAGTCCCGATTTTGGGGTCTTTTTCTTATATAGGCACCTATTACCCCCCACTCCCGTCTCGATTTTTCACAATGCTGTCTGGTCACCCTATAGGTGTGAGACAAGCTCCCATCAAGGACGAGAAGGGGGACAGTTTCCCTTCTGGGAAGATTGAGACAGACATCTTCTCTAGCGCCAGAAATGTATGAGTGAAAATCTAGAGCAGGGAGGGGAGTTTCCACCAGGTTAATTCCCTGCCTCAGACACTGCCTCGTCGGAGTTGGCAGAGACATCTGTGGGTGGTGATGGAGAAGGGAAAGTGGGGAGAAAACAGGCGAATGAAGACAGCAACAGCTGGAGGGTGCACAGGGGACCTGCAGTTAAACTCGGGGGCGGGGGGTTAAGGAATGGACTCCCCAGCTAGCAATTTATGGCCGGTATGGGGGCAAATCCCACCATCATGTTTGTCTGAGAGAAGCGCCTAGAGACTCCAGCTGAGCTCAGGGCCCAATGCGCTCAGTGGTGTATGCACATATAGTAAGAGACAACCCTTGCCTTGAATATCTACAGTTTAATAGACAACGGCTGGGAAAGGAAGGATTACTATCCCCATTTTACAGATGAGGGGACTGCAGCACAGAGAGATTCAGAGCAACATCTTCTGTCCTACCACAAGACCGTGCTACCTCTCCAACACTGATGGAAGGGTTCCAGGGAAACCCCGCAAGTCCAGGCTGGGGGAGATTCCCCTGCTAGTGGGCAAAACTATCCCATCTCAGAGAACAATCTGGCTCGGTGTGTTTCGGCTCCTGTCGCCAGGACTGAGTGTGTGCACAGTGATTCATTTCTGTGGCAAAGGCTCTGTGTTGACATTCAGAGGAGCCTTATCGCAGGGCTCTGGTCCTTTGGGGCTGGGCTGTTCCGGCTGCTATAAGGGCAAAGCTTTTGTTCAGTTCTCACAAGTTAAAAGAGAGCGGCTGAGTGCGCATTAGAGCCGAGACTCCGGTATGAAGCGGCTGATCCTTTTGATGCTTTGCCTTTGGCTGGCCAATGGGTTGCAAAGGTAAGCAGGCTTCCTTGGCCTTTCCTCACTTCTCTGGGCACCCAGGCGACAGCAGCTCTAGGGTCAAGGCTCATTCCCAAGGACTCGTGGATTGTGGCAACGGTGAATGTTAAAACAAACAGCAGCCAGAACCGTGTGCCCAGGCTTTAAACAGCACCAGACACAACGTTGCTGGGTGGGGACGGGTAGACAGGCTGGGTAACATGATGCTCATGAAACTGACGGGGAGAGCACCAGTCAGACCCAGCTTTGTAGGGACCAAGCGGGGTTTCTGTTCCCATCAGAGTATCTCCTCAATGGCTGGTGAGATGGCTCCAGCAGATGGAGACAGAGCCTGGGGACCTGACTCAGAGGAGATGGTGGGTTAATATGAATTACCTGTTGGTAAAATGGGTGTAAGAGCGTCTAAATGGATGTAATTCACTCGTGAAGGGGCCAGCAAAGAAGGACGTACCAACTGCCAGGAGCGGGGACCAGGCCTAAACTCTACTACAGTGTTTTAACATTGACTTACACCTGCTTCCAACTCCGCAGCTAGTAAGCGATAACAATTTAGACTCCTTCACCATCGCTTACCTCTGCCTAAATTACAACTCACCTCTGCACTTGGTTCTAAGATTCAGGACTACTGGGCTCTAGTCCTGGCTCTGTCTGTGAATCGCCCACGGGGCAAGTCCGCTCACCCCTTTGTATCTCAGATACAGGGCTGGTTCTAGGCACCAGCGTTCCAAGCATGTGCTTGGGGCAGCACTTTTCAAGGGGCAGCACTCTGTTTTGTTTTTTATTGCTTGGGGCGGCAAAAAGCCTGGAGCCAGCCCTGCTCTGATATAAAGCAGGGATAACACCACCTCCTGGGAGGGCAGGGTTGAGAGTCTACACTGATGAGCATTTTAAAACACACTTTGAGGTTCTCAACTGAGCACTGCCCGGGAAGTGAAAAGAATCATCATTCGGTCGTAGTCGTTAGCATCAGTGGGCAAAATGGATCTGGATTTCTCAACACTAACAGCCAGTCTCTGTGCTGATCTACTCCCCATGCAAACTCACTGGAGTCAAAGAGACACACCTTGGTGCCACTGAAGTCACTGGGTTTGGAGAGGGTGTAAATCAGAGAATAACTAGCCCCCTGAGCAAAGGACTAATTTACTCTTCGCATTGTGATCACACCGAGGAGCCTCAGTCCTCTCAAAACAGCAGCTCAACGTGCAGTCAAAAAAGCAATCAGAACATTGGGAATCATTAGGAAAGGGATAGATAAGAAAATATAGTGGCATTATGACATTTTCTATAAATCCCTGGCACACCTGCACCTTTAATACTGCGTGCAGTTCGAGTTGCTCCCATATCAAAAAGATATATTAGAACTGGAAAAAAATACAGAGAAGGGCAACGGAAATTATTAGAGTATGAAATAGCTTCCAAATGAGGAGAAATTAGAAAGACTGCGACTATTCAGCTTAGAAAAGAGATGACTAAGAGGGGATCTGATAGAGAGCTATAAAGTCATGCCTGGTATAGAGAAAGTGAATAGGGAAGTGTTATTTACCCCTTCACATAACACATAAACTAAGGGTCACCCAATGAAGTTAATAGGCAGCACCTTTAAAACAAACATAAGGAAGTATTTGTTCATACAATGCCCAGGAACTCGTTGCCAGGGGATGTTGTGAAGGCCAAAAGTATAACTGGGTTTAAAAAAGAATTAGGTAAGTTCACATAGGATAGGTCCATTAATGGCTCTTAGCCAAGATGGTCAGGGATGCAACCCTATGCTCTGGGTGTCCCTAAACCTCTGACTGCCAGAAGCCGGGACTGGATGACAGTACATGGATCACTTGATAATTGCCCGGGTCTATTAATTCCCTCTGAAGCATCTGGCACCATCCACTGTTGGAAGACAGGATACGGGGCTACATGGACCATTGGTTTGACCCAGTATGGCCATTCTTATGTAATGTCATAGATCAGGACCCCCACTGTGCTGGGCGCAGTACAAAAAAAAAGAACAAAAAAAGGTCCCTTCCCCCAAAGGCTTACAATCGAAGTAAATACCACACACCAACATGTGTGCCTTCTATCAGATGCCATTCACTGGGTAGATGGGCCAATCCACCTGTACTTGTGCAAGCCTTCTTTTAATTCGGGTTCCCTAGTTCCTGTCGCTCAGGCCCATGTTTACTGGGCGAATGCCTTCTTTCCCCAGGGTGCCCCTGAGGAGACACAAATCCCTGCGGAAAATCCTGAGGGAGCATGGGCAGCTGTCCAAATTCTGGAAGGCCCAGAAACTGGACATGATCCAGTACACAGAAGATTGCTCCGCCGTCCCAGAAACTAATGAGCCACTCATCAACTACCTGGATGTAAGTTACACAGCAAGGGGTGGCGGGGAGGCAGCACTGGGGGCACTGCTTTGCAGAAATCACTGAAAAGCAACACAGGAAGCAGAGAGTGCACATTATTTTGCATGAACAGCCTTGAATGCCCTACATCCTGACCCTTGAGTTCAGCTCCTGTTAAACAGAGTCTGAGCAAAGCCAACAATAATACAATAGTGTGCCATAGTTATCTGTCTGCCCGACTTTTTACTGGTCTTTTGTCCTGTAGGTATGTGACTTGTGAATGTAATGTTGATCCCATACAAAGGTCTCCATTCAGTGTATATTATACACACACACACACACAAATCCCACTTTTCTCCTAATCTTCTGGGCATGAAGCTAGTGACAATAGCCTAGAGCCAAGAACCAAAATCCCCTCCAAAACTAAAATACAATCATACAAGTAGAGCAGGGTCCAAGCCAGAAGGTTTAGACCCAGAGACCAACTTTCCCAGTGGTTGGGGGTATTTCCCGGATCTGAGGTCTTAGTCTGGCCTGTTATAGTGTCAGTGGTTGTGACATTTGGTTCTAAGCATTTCTAAAGTTCAGGACATGTTTGGATCTTTATGGGGATTCTGCTCAGGCCTGTTCCCGTTCCTGCCGATGCCCGTGGGAACTGGGCCACTGAGATTGTTGGGAGCAGGCCGGAGTCCACAATCGTTGTCCATTTTCATTCTGGATTTGTTACCATTTTTCTAGGCTCTTGCTGTATCTGGCTCCCGCTTTCCCCCTAGCATCATGCTGCAGTATCCCCCACATGGTGTCAGCCATTCCAGAAACAAAGTCAGCCCATTGCAAACATCCATCCCATAGCTATCCCCCTGGAGCTTGGCTCTGCTGCGGTTTCCCGTGGTGCCTATGCCTGTTGCTTTGCTCTTTGTCTAGATGGAGTATTTTGGACAGATTTCTATCGGGACCCCTCCTCAGAATTTCACAGTGTTATTCGACACTGGCTCCTCCAATCTCTGGGTTCCATCCATCTATTGTGTCAGCAAAGCCTGTGGTAAGTAGCGATTCCTCAGCTGCATATTGCTCCTGGACATTGGCTGGGGTAGAGTAGAGAGACTGGGCCTGACTCTCCACTCAGCACCAAAGTAAATCAAGAGAAAATCAAGTGAAGTCCGTGGAGATAGACCACTGTAAATGTGGGGGAAAGGGGCAATCAGCCTTGAGGTGCTTAGAGAAATTCCCCTCTTCATGGGCACCTTACTAGCTTCGCTGAGCCACTGCTTGGCAAATGCAGGCACAATTCAATATGTTCCAAAAGAGCACGAAGTGAATGCACCAGCATGGAACCCAGACCATCTGCACTGAAATCAACCAATAGGAAAAAGGGATGTAACAAAAACGGAACCCCTTTGTCATGCCCACTGTGTGTTAGGTCCTAAGAAAAAGAAAAAGAAAAATACATCTGTTTTGTTACAAGCTCATTGCATGTGATTGCAATGGTACTAGGCAGCCATCCTGGAAACCACAGGTTAATCGAGACTGCAGCCTTAGTTCTGGGCAGCAGTCCCAGGAATTCAGCTTCATAGAACACTTGGTGCTGGTTCTGGGCAGCTGCAGCCGTGGTATTTTCCGGGTAATAGGCTGTGCTCAAGGATCTGGGCCAGTGGCGCTGCAGCTTTCAGGAGTGGGTTGATCAGTAGGCAGGCTCCTAAGGAGACAGATCATTGCACAACACATGTGTATTGTGCCTCAGAATTTCTGTCTTTGCCGGACACCAGATGAGGGAGCGATAGATTATTGGGACATGGATCAGTTAATGTATAATTCCTTAGCAGCCAGGGAAAGGTCAAAGGAGCCTCAAAGGGTTGTGTTGTTGTGTGTGTGTGTGTGGGGGGGGGGGTTGTCCATTTTGTCTAATTATATACGTTGGCTCCACTCCCAGTTAAGACTCTCAGGTGGGCCTGGGATACTTACAACTGATCTTGCGCAAGTGGCCACTCTGATTCTGAGTGTCCAGCCATAAAGAATATCAGGCTGGACACCCAAAAATGGAGGGACCCCAAATCAATGAACACTTTTCATAGGGTTGGCCCTAGTCATGACAACTCGGTGCAACATGAAACATTGAAAATATATTTATAAAGAACTGAGAATTGTGTGAAGAAATCACTTACTGGACTATGTGGAGACCAGGATTCCCTTTTACTCCAACCCACTGCTTAGCACAGGAAAGGAGTTAGGGAGGGAGGAGGAATAGGTGGCTTTATGCCACCCTTTGCTCTCATTGTAGCCCATGATATAAATTAGAGCAGCCAAAGGGCTGCTCTAATCTATACTCTGCTTCCAATAGCCCCCTCCTCCCTGAGGGCTAAGGGAAGCAAAGAATACTCCGGAGTGCAGCTATTCTCTGCCTAAGCCTCCTACACTGGGGGTGGGATTGGAAGAGGAGCTGGCTTAGTGCTGTTCTGGTAGCAATACACCACTGCCTGGGTGTATTCACCAGGGCCTGCTTCTACCCTTTCTACTACTCCTTTATGATCTCAGAGTGGAAGAGAGCATCAGGCCTAGGGTTTAAGTAGGCAAGTCACTTTCCCTCTCTTGTGTCTCAATTTCCCCAGCTGTAAAATGGGGATAATAATACTGACTTCCCTGTCTCACAGGAGTGTTGTGAGGATAAATTAGGTAACTATTGCACAGTGATTTGAAAACTTAAAGTGCTATCAAGTTCTTGCAATAATATGTTTACTTGCAGCACTTTATGCAGCCATTAGATGACTCCATATCTAGCATAGAGTTCCATATGGGTAGTGGTGATTGGTGTAAACAGAACACAATGCTGGAACTCAAGCTCTGTGGAAACCTGTTTCTTTATGTCTACAAGTTGTAGCTGTTTTCTTTAATGAACCACTCTTCTTTAAGACAAACTGTAACTGGATATATGACGGTGCTAAGAATTATTATTCTTTGTAATAAAGAAAATACATCTCTAAATGCTCACATTTTGCTAGAGCTCTTTTATTTACAAGTTAACCTGACCATTCCATTGCATAGAGTAATTTCAATTGCCTCGGTTTTTTTCTGTGTTTGGACAGAACCTAGCACAAGGGGGTCCTAGTTCACAGCTAGAGCTCCTAGGTGCTACAGTTATGCAAGCAATAACAAAGGCATCTTGTTTTACTACAGCTGTGCATTCCAGATTTCACCCATCGGATTCTAGCACCTACAGTAAAGTTGGGACTCCCTTCTCGATTCAGTATGGGACTGGTAGTTTGTCGGGAATCATCGGATCAGATCAAGTCACTGTGAGCAGAGTTTGGTTTTCTTTAGAAAAATTAAAAAGGTTCTACTTCCATTTTCTCTCCTGTCCATGGCACTGTGACTGCAGGACATTATTTGGTCACCATGTGAGCCCATCTCCCATTGTTCTTTCCTGGTAGGGCACTATGACTGCAGAACCTTTCCTGGTTCAGCTCCCAAGGAAGTCAGTGGGAATGGAGGGCATTCGGCACTTCGAGGGAGGTGCTCAGAACATTGCAGGATTGGGTCCTCCGGCCATGCCTGTTGTAAATGAGTGGATTCCTCACACCACGCCTGACACCACACACACACACACACACACACTTACAACTGATACAACTAAACCCCACTTATCCACCCCTTCTCCCCAAGGGTGCCTTCATTCTTCATGAAAATAACCAAGACCTAAGGCGGGACTCAGCTTACAAACATGAGCATTAGCTCCCTAACACCCTTCGGAGTGGGCTGATCAGAATTTCTACCTGCAGGAACTCCTGCCTTTCTCTTTAGCTCGCTGCAGAGTAAACTTTGAACTTTTATGTGCTTGCTTGGAGCCAATGAGACATACCTCATCTAATTACCAAGATGAGTCAGCATAATCGCTTTGCACTTCACAACAAGGTGCTACACGCTGAAAACCTTCCTTTCCTGTTTTCTCCTGTTATGACACCATGACCTGGCCTCCAGAAGACCAAATTCTTCCTATTCTTTCCTGCTGTGGCACCATAAGCGGCCCGTTGCTGCGGCTTCTGATGAAAGGTCAGAAACAATAAGTAGCTTTTCTTCCCCCTCCAGGTTGAAGGCATCACTGTCAGCAACCAGCAGTTCGCAGAGAGCGTCAGCGAGCCAGGAAACACTTTTCTGGATGCTGAGTTTGATGGGATTCTTGGACTGGCCTATCCGTCGCTGGCTGTGGATGGGGTTACCCCTGTGTTTGATAACATGATGGCACAAAATCTAGTGGATCTGCCAATATTCTCAGTCTACATGAACAGGTGTGAACACGATTCTGTACAAAATGGGCTACGGCCTGATGGTCAGGCCTTGTTCTCAAGGGAATTGGGAACAGGCTGGGCCCAAAGAGGGCTGTTAAAACAGGAATGGGTTTTTTACTTAGATTGTAAGCTTTCTGGGGCAGAGACTGCCTCTTTGTTCTGTTTGTACAACGCCTGGTGCAATGGGGTCCTGGCCCATGACTGGGGTTCCCAGGCACTATCCCAATACAAAGAATGAACAACAACATGAAGTATTTTGGGGAGAAAACTAATGGATTACTGTAGTTTAAAGAGCTATGTGCGCAGTAATAGGATTATATAATGTGAAATGCTTCTGCTAATGGAAAACCCGGATGTACCAAATCCTCTTTTCTCCAGGAACCCGGATTCCTCTGTCGGGGGAGAACTATTATTTGGTGGCTTTGATCCGTCTCATTTCAGCGGGACTCTGAACTGGGTACCAGTCACTAAACAGGGATACTGGCAAATCCAATTAGACAAGTAAGTGTCTGTGTGGGGTGGGGATTCCCCGCAATGGCGGCTGGGGTGGGGGTGGCACTGGGTGAGCACAGATTAGAGGTAAACTGTGTAACCGTTAAACCCTGTCAATTCACAACAGCAGCAATCCAAAGCCACTCATCCCCTAAGCTACATGCACTCTCCCAGGACCTCGGTGCCATGATCAATCAATGGACAAAGGGATTCACTTAGGAAAAAGGATGCTCCCAAACCTCCTGCCTTCTCTGGCTCTTGAACAGAGACAAAGGATGGTCCTGTGCTTAGGACACTAGCCTGGAGCATGGAAGAACCAATTCCCAGCTCTGTCACACACTCCCTGTGTGACCTTGAGCAAATCACGTTGTCTTCCGTACCCCAGTTCCCCATATATAAAGTGAAGATAATAGTCCTTCCCTGCTTCCCAGGGGTGTTGTGAGGTGCCCAGATACTACAGAGACTGTGTGTGGGGGGTGTCACATGAGCACGTAACAGACAGAATTGCATCTTATGTTTTGAAAACCATGTCTGTACTGAACTAGGTTTTCCTCCCGTCTAGGGTCAGTTTTCAAAACATGCTCAGTACCAGATTTCCACAGCACACAGCCTCCAGGATGACACTCGTGGGCAGATTTTCAATAGCTCTCAGCACCCAACATGCCTGGCTCTTGCAAAAAGCTGGCCAGCATTGGGGAATGAAAAACAGAAATGTTCTCTCAAAAATAGACTTAAAGAGCCCAATATACGTACCTTGTTGATTCTTCATCTCTGCCTAGAAGCAATGTAATGTCCTAGGGTTTCTCCAGAGACCTTAACCAAAGAAAATGTAAAATATTTAAGGAAAAGCCTCACTTATATTTTATGTACATGATTTAAAGTAGCTAAAGTCTCCATTATTGATCAGCAGCCACAAGAATCCAACTTTAATATAACCTGCAAGGCATACATGTAACACACTTGCAAAGGGCAATTTGTCCCCACCTAGTGGCTGGGCCAAACAGAGAAACAACAGCCTACTAACTTCTACCAACAAAGAAATAATTCCTTTAGCTGAAGTAATAGAGACCGATGCTTTGATGCTGCAGGCCCTGAGTTCAGTTCCTGGTGTTGACCAGTTTTTGTTTTATATACACAGAAAGCAATTCTGTGAATTAGTTAATTGTGCTCTCCTATCTGAGTGCCTCACAGACACCAGAGTAACCATCAAGCAAAGCCTCAGTACTTACTCTCTAACCACATGCACAATCTTATCAGACCATCCCACTGACTCTGGAATGGTTACAGTTCTGATGTGCTCTCAGCCATGCGCTGGGTCAGTGGGGAGAGGAACACATTTCCCATAGACCCTTTCTCCAATGCTTGTTCCATTTCCTTTTCCCCAGCATACAGGTGGGCGGGACAGTTGCCTTCTGTGCAGAAGGATGCCAGGCGATAGTAGACACCGGGACCTCTCTCATCACAGGTCCTTCCAAAGAAATAAAAGAAATGCAAAATTATATTGGTGCAGTGCCCACGGATGGCGAGGTAAGTCAATGTGAGATGGGCAGATACCACATTTCCTGGATGCAGGAATTCTTGTCTCCCCATGCTAGATTTCCAACCAGGATATAACTCCTCAAACAAAATATTACAGAGATATTTGAAGTTTGGCATCTCTGCTGGAGACAAGTAAAGGCTCTAGGTTTCAAAAGGCCTGATCAGACCCATATAATATGTCAGCATACAGCCCCGGTAAAGAGATAAAGGCACTCGCTATTGAAACCCTGCCTTTATCATTATGCCACTGAATACCACATCCTCATATCCTTGCTGCAAGTCCTAAGGCCTCAGAGACACACAGCCTTTCCTATATGTCACCTGGGGTCTCTGTATATAAACACTGCTGTCACATTTCAATTAAAATCTGGATGTAGCTATCCTTCCCTGTTCCCTTAAAAGCTACAAGTACTCTTGCTGGCCTATTCCCTTTTGTGTAAGACAATTATTGTTGCAGGACTGCAGCATTTAGAGATTAACAATATAGGTCCATGTGCTCGTACGGGAGACAGCATGGCTTAGAGAACAGAGTCCTGGGTTGAGAACCAAGTAATGTAGTTCTATCCTGATGCTTCTTTGCTGGGCACGTCCCTTACCCTCTCTGGGTCTCATCTGTAAGGGGCATTGGGTGTTGTAACAGCTTCCCACCCAATGCAGCGTTATTCCCTGTTGTACATTTACCACCATCCAGCAGCAACTTAGTACATTTTACATGAAATCAGGACTGTGTTTTTTCCCAGGGTTTGGGGTTCTTGTTTTTTCCAGAAGGCTCCTTCTGATAGAAGGCCATTGACCCATGACATTCACCTCCATTGAGAGTATATTGACATACAGGTAGCATCACTGCTAGCTAGAGGAAAGCTGGCTTGGGCACGCCTACATGAGCTGGAATCACACCTCTGAGCTTCATGCCTACCCCTATACAGCTGCCAGTAACAAGTCAAAGGACTAGCTCCCAGGGTCAGCTGCTTGGGAAGAGGAGAACTGTATTAGGCTTTCTGGCCTTTGGGGTCAGCATGCCAGGTAAGCCGTCCCTGCAACTGGCCCTTGGCCAATCTGTGACATGTCTGTCATTTTGCAGTACGCCGTGGAATGCAACAACCTGAATGTGATGCCTGATGTTACCTTCACCATCAATGGGATCCCATACACGCTCAGTCCCCAGGCCTACACCCTCATGGTACAAGCGTCTTCCTCATTCTAAAATTGGCATGACAGCATGCGTCCCCAGTTTCCCTTGTAGGCTTATGTTCAATCCAGCCTTGAGATGCGGGCTGCGTTAAATGCAGTCCCATTTTTAGCTCAGGCAGGAAGTTGGGAAGCACAAGAGAGCCTCCAGCCTCTAATGTTCACAAGATCAATTGCTGTTCTGTAACAGTTCGGACTATGAAAGGGGTGATAGGGAGTGTGGTCTAATGGTTAACACAGGGTGGTGGGAGTCAGGACACCTGGGTTCTGTTCCCAGCTCTGGGAGGAGTGTTGGAGCATGGGAGTGGATGCTGTATGTCCTGGAATCTATTCCCAGCATTGAGTTGGTGAGGGTCAGGTGGTTATAGCAAAGCGAGTGGGAGGCAGGAGTCTTAGAATCAGCTCTCAGAGGGGTGTGTGGTTTGGGTACTGGGCTGGTAGTTAGGATTCCTGCATTTTCTTCCTGGCCTTTCTAGAAAGGTGGAATTTGTTCTCATATTCGCAATTCCTCTTCCCCTTAGGATAATAGTGACGGCATGGCATTCTGCACCAGCGGCTTCCAGGGGCTGAACATGCAACCACCGGCTGGGCCACTCTGGATTCTGGGTGATGTTTTCATTGGCCAGTTTTACTCGGTCTTTGACCGTGGAAATAACAGAGTTGGGCTGGCACCAGTTGTCCCTTAAGGCAGTGTTTCCTAATGGTCAGAGTAAGGCCGTGGGAGTCAGTGTAGAGCTTGGTTCTATTCCTGGCTCTGCCACTGTGTGACTTTGGGCAAGTAACATCATGTATCTTTGTGCCTCAATTTCCCCACCTGTAAAACAGGGATGATCATACTGACCTCCTTTGTAAAATGCTTTGGGATCCTTGGCTGACAAGCACTACAGAAATGCAAAGTGTAGCAGGAGGCATTTGTGTAACCAATACAAAAATGTCTTTGGTAACTTTGTTAAAGCCAGTTTACAGATTTTGATTTTGCCCTTGAATCAATGGAGATTTTCATCAAATAAAGAGGATTTCAATTCTCATTTCACATCTAAAGATGCAACAATCAAACTGAATTAGATTTGGAAACTACTGCGGAAAATATGGCTGGCTTCAGTAGGCTGAATTGTGCACGGTGCCATCACCCTTCACCCCCATGAATTAAAAGCTTTGGATATGCCGGAAATAATACCTCATGGGTGTCTCTGTATTAGCAGCCTCTTCATTGGACTGGGAAGAACCTTGACTGTGCAGGAGGGGGATATGGTGGCCAAAACTACCACAACTGAGGAGGAAGTCTTTTTGTTATGTTGTCTGATTGTCTTTAGGCTGCAATTTTCAAATGAACCCAAGAGACTTCCAAGAGAGGAGCATGAGTTCTACTGAAAATCAGTAGGAGTTGGGTTTCTACCTCTCTGAGGTGCTTTTGAAAACCTTTAAAGGTAGGGTTACCATACGTCCTC